GGCTTGAGTACACACCTAGATATAGTTGCGGAGAAGTAGTAGACGAACCTGTCTGCTGAGCAGGCACAGTTCCCTACGAAAATCTGCGCTCAGACGAGATTCTTGCAGAGGTGCTCCTTTCCGGTCCTGAGGATCTGAGGGGAGTCCAGACGTGAGGGTTGTCGACTCTGGGGACCGATCATTTGGAAGTCAGCTAAGTGAGGCCTCTTCATGACTTGATGATGCCACTCCTTCTGGGAATCGTATCGTCATTCATGAAAGTCTGTGACGCTGATAACCGCATAGGATGCCGTACCTTTGTCCGTGGATTAGGTTTATCCTACCTGTGAGAGGGACTGGGTTATTGCAGGAAAACTGGCCTTCAGAAACCATGATTCTGTACTTTTATCAGATGGTGTTCTTGATTCATCTCCAGGTGTTGTCTGGGTCAGATGGGTTTCTTATCTGAGGTCGAGGCTATTATCAGATGGTATTCTCGTCAGATACAGAGGTTCAGATGGTTTTCTTACCAGGGGATTGATATTTTGAGTATCAGATGATAGTTAGTGGCATGAGGTTCTGATGACCGTGTTGGTTTTCTGTTCTTGATCACAGAGATATTCCTCTTCAGGCTACAGCATAGCCCCTGTGTTCACAGATTGCATTATTTATCATATTGCATCATTGCATTACCATCTGCATTCAACTAACGTGTGTGTATTGCAGGTACATATTTTCCAGTTCTGGTGTTTGTTCCTAGCAAGACATGGAAAACCTGAAGAGAGTATTGCCCTATAAGTTTCCGTCGCCGAATATCAGTCTATTGTTAGAATTGATTGCTATTGCTAAGAAGAGAGGAATGGGTGACTTCAGAAAGAGATATGGGAGGATTCTGACCTACGTTTATCAGCCATCTGCCTACGAGACCAGCGGCATCTATACTCTGTTACAGTTTTACGACGCGGAGCTCAGGTGTTTTGTATTTCCCGACTTTGTTTTGGCTCCTACCCTGGAGGAGTACTCTGCACTTCTGGACCTGAAGGGTTGGAAGAGAGGATATGAAATCTTTAAGAAAGGGAAGACTACTTGTATTATTGAGTGTTCATAATTTTGGATTGATACAAACTCAAACACATCAACTATATTTATACTAGTGACATGCTTAAATAATGATTAGAATTTTGCCACCATAAATTTAATCTAATGACTATAAATTACTCTCTAGAATTTTCTCTTTTATTCTACAAAATTTATCCTTATCTTCTAAGAAGTTCTATGGATCTCTCTAGAATAGGCTTCTAGAGAGCTCTATCGATCTCTCTAGAATAGGCTTTTAGAAAATGGACCTACTAGAATTAAAATTTGAGCTTAAAATTCATAAGGCCCAAAAACTAACAAACCCAAAATCAAATTAAATAATCAACACCCCCTTAAACTTTATTTTTCTACTCCAAGTAAATATCTTAACTGGACAAAATCTTCGTGCTTGAGAGCTTGGTGAAAATATCAACTGCTTGGTCATGTGTCTTTACATACTCCAATTGCACGTCGTTGGTAGAAACATTCTGTAATATAGTGAAAGTTTGTGTCAATGTGCTTATTTTTATAATGGAAGAATAAATTATTTTAAAAAAGTATTGCTGACTTGTTGTCCATTAATCTCTTGGTCAGGACTTTTTACAACAATCTCAACTATTTAAAAAAAGTTTCATAGCTAGATTCCATGACAAACACATGAAGTGGCTGTCCAATATTCCACCTCACATGTGGAAATAGGGACCATTGGTTAGTTCTTTAACATCCATGTGAAGCATGTATTTCCAATATAGAAGAAAGAATCATTTGTGCTTTTTTGGTCATCTACGTCTCCTTCCCAATCGTGATCGTTATATTCAATGAGCTTGTAATAATCAGAAACACAGTCATAAAAGCTTATGTTTGTTGTAATTTTGACGTAGCCAATAATCCTCTTTCTTGCCTTCAAAACCAGAAATGGAAGGTTTGGACATGAAAAAAAGTACAATTTGATTCCAAAAAAGAAATGGAGTGGAAATTATAAAGACCTTTTTTTTAGGATAGATGATATTAGAATGTGATGTTTTATTCAATAATGGTTGTGGGTTATGATTTTTGTCTAATACTCCGTAATTAATAAAATGCTTTAAATATTATTAGTTAAGATTAACTGGGCTCTGGTGTGCTCTAAGAGTTATCTGTTAAGATAATTAGAGTAACTGATGAACTCAGAGTTAATTTAATTAATATTATCTGACTCTGAGATTTTATTAATTGATGCATTAGAGATATTTTGGATACCCTTAATTGGACTATTAACCAAGTTAGTCTTACTAACTCTATTGGGATATTTCTACATATCCACTAGTAGAAAATATACTTTATAATAGAGGTTGTTAAGTCAGTTCACCTGCCACCTGACTTAAGAAGTGATGCGGTGGCAATTTCGTAAATATTTGTAACATTGTTAGGTCAATTACATTTAGAACTGACTTAAAAAAAATTAAAGACAAAAATATAATTCGTATTAAATTTCTTAAGTCGCCTGTGTTCACTAACTGACTTAAAAAACATATTTATTAAGTCAGGTATTGTCCACCTGACCTAAGATGTTTTATTCAAACCCTCCTCTCACTACAAACCCTTCTTCTTCACAGCAAACCTTTCATTCAACAAATGAACTCCTTTGTTAAATTCTTCTCATGAACCCAGAAACCCCTTCATCAAACTCAAATCCTTAACATAAAATCCAGAAATCACACACTTCACTGCCGAGAAATCAAACCCCTCATTGTAAATCTGACACCCTAAACCAAAACCAATATCAGAGTAGCCATGTTGCTTCGCCGTTTTCCGTGGACGACAATTTCCGCTGCTACACCAATTCCACTGCATTCTTCCATTAAAGTTTTCACTTCCATTCCAAAGCAACTCGCCTTCTCCCCTTTATCCTTTTTCTCCACTCACCATCTAGAAAAACATGTAATTTCATTTTCACGTCATTTCTAGGGTTAACTCATTCAATTGTTTTTTTGTTCGCATCATTCACTGAGTTTGAATCTTCATTTGCAGGAACACGAACCGGATAATCGTCGGAACACTGGTCAGAAATCTTGAAGACATCACATTCAAGGCACTGTGGGAAATTACTTCATCACTACAACATCAAAGTACCCCTGGCAAGCCACTTCCTTTTCCTTCTACTCTATTTGCAAACCTAGGTCAATATACATCACTGTTTGGCATAATTGCAATTTACATTTTCTAATACTCATTTCTAGATCTTCAGATGAGTTATCACAAATTCAATGAATCACAAAGGGAACAGCTTGTGCTCAGGAGGTTGAAAAAAGGTGAGATTGAGGCACTTATAAGTGACGCTGGAACGTCAGGTATAAGTGATCCTGGTATGGAGTTGCTAAGTGTGCTGCTATTACTGTGCTTGTTTATTCTTATCATCACTTCTATTCTATTTTGTTTCATAACTTTATTTGTGGTGATAACAATGCAGGCCAAATTATGTGTTAGTGAAAATGTTCCGGTTGTTCCAATCCCAGGTCCTTGTGCTTTGGTATCTGCTCTTTCTGCCTCAGGTTTATCCATAGATGAATTTAAATTTGGTAATTAACTGATTGAACTGTATGGTTTTGGTAGATAATGACTATAAACCAAGAACTAAAACGTATAAGTACTTATCTTTGTAGGTGTGTCTTGGAAGTGTCGGGGCTGTAGACAATGAAGGCAAGTCACTGCCACGGCTTGTGTATGTTTCGTGCGAGAAGTGTTCTGGTTATCAACACCATAACAAAGCCGGAGCAATGAATTCTCTGGTAATTAGTTTAAACTTTTAGTATATAGTTTTATTCCATTTAGTTAAAAAAATGATATTATAAAAACTGTTTATTTAGTATAACTCTTGAAACGCTTCATTTCCTCAACAACTTCGAGTTTCTGCTGTGCTTAGCAAGGCACCTTTTGTGTTGAATTTGGATTGTGATCAATACATTAATAATAGCAAGGCTATTAGGGAAGCTTTGTGCTTCCACATGGACCATCTATTCGGAAAAAAGACAACTTATGTCCAATTTCCACGAAGGTTTGATGACATCGACGACAGTGATCGATATGCTAATCACAACACTGTATTCTTTGATGTAAGGAATATTTTCCTAAACTCCGATGCAAGTTGCAATCTAATTAACTGATCTTTAACTCCTGCCTTAAATTTTTTTTTCCTTATAGCAGGGTAGACTTTATCATGTAAAGAGTTTCTTTTGCTATTGTTGTAGATTAGTTTGATATCTACTAGATTAGTTACTTTCTCAAAGACTGTAACATATATCTTCTTGATGATGTCTTCAGCGTAGTTGATGCACATACCGGCACTGAAATATTTAAGGTGCTTATCCTCTCAATCATTCATAATCATCAAATTGTTAAAAATATCTAGCTTTAATCGTATCTATCTTTTTTATAGGAATGTGTGAGGGGAGCTCTAAAAGGAAAGACTATAGTTCTTGTAACACACCAAGTAGACTTCTTACATAATGTCAATCATATCGTGGTAAGTCTCTTTTTTAAGTCCTGTGTATAAATCTTGGTGAACGATGAGTTATTCTAACATGTATATATATTTGCTTGCTAAAAGGTGATGAGGGTAGCTGCTGCAAGACTATTGCAGTAAATGTTAGAGGCACCACAGTCTCCAAATGAAGGAGAAAGGGATGACAGGGCATTGGATTTGTCTTTAGGGTCTAGTCAGAGGATAGGTTAGAGGCGAAGGCATATGAGAAAAAATGGCTCTACAGCCGAAAGGAGAAAGTGGGTACTATCATATTGGGATTCGGTGAGTATGGATGTGAAGAAAGACTGCCTTAGGATTAAAATATCTGATATCATCTCCCACTTTGGCTCTACAAAGGAGACTTTGCCAAAAGATGTTTGAAATACTTATTAGACACAAATGCATTGCTGCTAGTCATCTTCACAAGGTCATACAATTTAGTATGGGTGAGATCCAAGGTCTTGTTGCTGGTTCTGAACTTCTAAAACATGATTTAGACCAAACAGTAATGTGCATATGCTTTCTGGGAGCTTCACAACTTAAGAAAATTCTTCAATTTCTACAGGAAATGTCTCATGCTTGTGGGTTAGGTAGATATGCTGATAAAAGTAGTAGTCCCAAGAATGATTTGCATGATATCAGCCAAGGTCCTGAGATCAGAGAGAAAATTGTTCTCAATGGAGATGCATCATGCCTTCTCCTGGATGAGTCTCTACTGCTAGCACAATTCACTCCTGGTACAACTCAGGAGTCTGTCTTTGAGGACATGGTCACCCCAAGTTCTCCCGATGGAATTTCAAACAGTAGTGGTGCTTTTCTGTCCTGGCTATATTCAAGTCGGTCTATTGGGGATCAATTGTCTACATGGATTCGGAACAAAGAAGATAAAATATGCCAACGACAAGAAATGGTCCGGACACTTGACAAGGAGTTTTATCAATTACATGGTTTGTGTCAAAAGAAGTGCGACCGTTTGGCTTATGAGGAAGCGCTACAGACAATTGAGGATCTTTGTCTTGAAGAAGGTAAGAAGAGGGGGGATGTGGGCGAATTTGTGCAACGAAGCTATGAGTCTGTCTTGAAAAGGCGGAGGGAAGAGATTGCTGAGAGTGAAAGTGAAATGGCGTATACTGGCAATAGGTTTGAGATGGAATGTATATCAAATGTTTTGCAAGAAGCAGAAGCGATGAATGTTAATAATCAATATTGCTGTGATGAAACTTATCCTGGCGTGACTTCTCAGATATGTAACTTGGAGTCTGGTGAAAATGATGAATGGAGAATGAAGGACTGCTTGCATCAAATGGATGGCTGTGTAGAAATTGCTATTCAGAAACTGAAAGAGCACGCATCTATAGAGGTTAGTTTGTTGGTTTTTGTCTCGTGTCTACTAAGTTAATTGCGAGGATGGACTTTTTCCTTGATGTTCTAACCTAGCGTGTTTACCATGCAGATTAGCAAAGCTGATGCGGAAATAATAAGATGTGTTTTAGAGGTGCAGCAATTGGAACTCAAGCTTGAACATGTTTCTGCCAATGATTATCGAGCAATACTTGTGCCTCTGGTGAAGGTGTACCTAAAGGTTTGTATACAAACTACCCAATCATGTACTGTTATTTCATCTTTCACTTAATTATATATTTGTTTGTTTTGATCTGTTAGGCACTTTTGGAAGATTTGGCTGAGAAATATGCTAGGGAGAAATCTGATGTTGCAGGTGAAGCATTTTTGGTTGAACTTGCTCTTGATTCCAAGAAGATTGGCAAAGGGGGAAATGAGAGCACGAGACATGTGGAGAAGACAAAGGATAAGAAGAAGAATAAAGATCACAGAAAAATAAGAGATTTGAAGGTGGTCGTCATGCATGTTGAAGTTGTTCATATATTTGGCCATTGTCCATGATAACTGATTAAAATTTCTCTCTTGCAGGCCACAAGTGGTTCTATGCATCCCTTGCTTCAGTCTACTACTCTTGAGTCAGTATACGGTTACTTTGTTTTTTCGGGTTTTCATTTTTTGTTATACAATCTTCTAGAGACAATGTAAATTTTCTTTAAAATGTTTTTAGTTGCAGTTCTGATCTAGTATCACCTGATAGTGACTTTCAAGATCATGAGGTTATTTCCATGAATGATGTTGATTTGGAACACCACAAAGAGGAATTTAGATGTAAAATTGAGCTTGAAGAGGAGGAAAAAAAACTTGAAGAAACCTTGGAACTTCAACGGAGGAAAAAAAAACCTTGGAAGAAGCCTTGCAGCAGCTACCCTAACTTCCATTTCTTTTCTTCTACGACACTACTCCATCAGGCCGAATTCTAAGCAGGGTAAGAGTATAAGGCCGAATTTATAACCAATTTCATATGTATGTATGTATGTATGTATAATTGCAACTTCATTATTTTTGAATTGCATATGGAGTGAATGGTGGTTAAGAGTTTTGTCACTGTAATCCAGTATTCACATGAGTTTTGTCACTTTAATCCAGTATTCTAGTTCTGCCAATGTCTCAAATTTCTGTATATTTTTACTGTCACACGATTCTAAGTTACTGCATTGTTGTCATGTTGATGCAGAATTCTGGTTATATTACCTAAGGCAACAACCAATTTTGCAGGGATTTTTGACGATGAGATTCATCACAGAAGACATCCTTGGAGCTTCTAGCAGCATGCAGTTCCTCAAAATTGTGATTACTTTGGCCGTGGCGGTGGCTGTGGTATTAATTCTTATACTTACTCACCCTGTATTTTGTTTGGTTTGGTGATTTGTGTTTATTGTTGCTTTCTGTTGAGTTTTACAGATGTGATTGAAGAAGATTCCTTGAATGCAGAATCATGTGTTCAGGTTTTGAGAATTTTGTCCCTTATTCATTTACGATGTCGTTTTATCTTACATGTTTTTTTACATTTGCAGATATCTAGATCTATTGGTGATGTATATCTGAAAAAGGCCGAGTTCAATAGAGAACCTTTATATGCAAAGTTTCGGCTTCGTGAGCCGTTCAAAACGCCAATATTGAGCTCGGAACCATCAGTATCTGTAACATCCTAATTTTTCATGCACTAAATAATATATCTAATTAGATATGATATTTTAACAATGCTAGTTATTAAAAACTAAATTTTGAAACTAACACTTATAATAATTAATTTATCAATTAATTACCTTTTATATTTATTACCTTTATTCTTCAATTTGAATATGATCGTTTCATTTTACAAACTAAACTTTGATTAATACATAAAACACTTAATTTTAAGTTAATTAATTATTCATATTATTATTATCATTATTATTGTTGTTGCTGTTGTTGTTTTGTTATTATTATTAATTGATTTTATTTTATTTGAATATTATCATTTTATTCTACAAACTAATTGGTAAATAAAATAATTTTAAATCAATAAATATATAAAATAACTATCATTGTTATCATTTTTATTATTACTTATATTTTTATTTTACTTTATCTATAACAATATATAAAGGCAATAGTTAGTTTTGGTGTAGCTTTTTATTTTTCAATTTTGTCCAATAATTCACACTATTATTCCATTAACACCCTTTACAAAAATCAACTACGTAGACGGTTAAAAAACTTCTACCACCTCACATTTTAATTTTTTTATATTAAAATTACTTTAAAAACTATTTTATGGTTATATCCTCATCTTTAGTAACAAATAATTTATTAATTAAATTAATTAAATAAGAAATAATAAATAAAAAAGTAATAACTTTTAAAAATAATTAACTGCTTTATAACCCACTAATCCCAAGAATCATGTAACAACTTCCGTATTTAATTAAATAAGAAATAATAATAAAAAAGTAATAACTTTTAAAAATAATTAACTGTTTTATAACCCACTAATCCCAAAAATCATGTAACAACTTCCGTACTTAATTTAATTAATTAAATAAGAAATAATAATAAAAAAATAATAGTAACTTCTAAACATGATTAACTGCTTTATAGCCCACTAATCCTATTATTGAATGAAATAGAAGCATATAACAACTTTCGTCCTCAACTAATATTACTATATTTAATTATATATTTAATTGTTTTAATTTTGAAGATTTATAATGTAGTTTATTTATGACTAAATTTATCCAAAACTTTTTTTTTAATAAAACTGAATGATAATGATTATAAAGTCCGTATACGCTAAGTTTTGATAAATTACATACTTAAAATAATCACAATTACATATTATCTTTTAAAAAGTTAAATAATTATTGATCATTATCATCAATAATTTTTATCATACAATTTACTAAATTGTACGGATAAGTGAATTTTAATTGCCTAAAAAAATTAGTTGTAGTTCTTAAAATACAGTTTTTGAAAATATGATTAACCAATATTTTATTTTTTTTTAAAAATAATTTTTAAAAATTTTTAAAAATCTCAGTCAAATGTAAACCGTCTATTACTTCAAATCCAATGATAGAGGATAAGTAATTTCTTCATTTCCCGCTCAGAATGATATATAAATACCTCTTTCATCTTCTACTTTTTCACATTCAAAATTCAAAAGAATAAACAGTTTCTCAAAATTTCTTACAAAAATGACAAGTCGTGAAAGGGTATTAAGGGGCCCGGAAAGGGAGGAGCAAAGAGGCACATGAGGATTCTGCGCGGCAACATTTGGGGAATTACAAAGCCAACGATTCGTAGATTGCGAGGAGAGGAGGTGTCAAAAGGATAAGTGGTTTGATCTATGAAAAAACTAGGTTATTTCTCAAGGTTTTCTTGACAAAAATCATTCATGATGTTGCTTCATATATTGATCATGCAAGAAGGAAGGTTGTGACTGCGATGGATGTTGTGTATACTCTTAAAAGACTAGGAAGAACTTTATATGATTTCGGAGGTTGAAGAAGATACTCTCTTTTATTTATTATTATGTTATCTTTTTATCGTCTAAGTTATGTAATTTGTATTCTAAGTAATAGTCGGTGATTATACAATGATCACCTTCTAAGTTATCTAATTTGTATTTGTATTTTCAAAAATGTTTATTTTCAAGTATTAGTTGGTGATTATGCAATGATAATCTATAACATCTATAACAATATATAAAGACAATAGATTGTTTTGGTGTAATTTTTTTTTCTTTTCATATTTACACTTTTCAATTTTTTTTTAATTTTTATTTTTTTTCTCACAACGGCGATTACACAAAGGTTTATTAACCGCCAACAGTTTATTATTTTTCATATCATTATCTTTAATTATTTTATAAATAGTTTATAACTAAATTAAAATTAAATAATTTATCTAGGGAACATGGAATTTTAGACTGGCCTATTTTTATTTCTATTTTATCCTTTAAAATTTAATTTTAGTTAATTTTAAAAACAAAAATACAAATAAAAAAATGAAGTTTTTATTAAATGATAGTAGTTATTTTGAATCTATAACAATATGTAAAGACAAAACATCTTTTTGGTGTAGCCTATTTTCTTTCCTCTTTTACCTTTTAAAACTACTTAGAAGTTACACAAATAAAAGTTAACTACTCCCTCCATTTTATATTTGAATATTGTACAAAGTAATTAGTTATTTGAAAAGAAAACTCATTTTAACTTCTAATTAAAAATTATATTTAAATAGCTTCTTCTTATAATTTATGTCTTTCATTTCTAACTCATTAGGTCCATAGAAATAAAAAATAGAGAAGACGGAAGATTGCATGAGGAAAATTGGAGTCCAAATAATGTTCATGATGATGGTAGAAAAGAGAAATCTACAAGTTGCAGATGACATAATATGAATTGCAAATCAGACAATGATTTCTGTTACAGTTGATTATTAGGCTATTTAGATTCTTCAATCTAATTTTTTGATTTGATTATTTATTTATTTTTATTTATTGTTCTGTTCTTTTTACAGAAACAAATCCATATGTGAAATTGGGGTTTGAAAGTTGAGATTATTGGATTTTTTAAATGTCTAATACTTTAACTTTTCTCTCTATTGTAGAAGAAAAATGAATCATTATCTCTTAGGAAAGAAACAAAAGGCGCGTCTTAATTTCTATGATTAAATAAGAATGACTATTTTTATTAATTTTTTAAAATTTGGTTTCCTCTCTTGAATCTTTATCTATTATTGTTCCAATTTTACCTGTGTAATTTGCAAAAATTTTAAAATATAAACAATATCTTAATTTTTAAATTGTATAACTTCTACAATGTGATGTAGACATTAATTTATATCTATCTCGATAGACATTCATGATGGTATTAACTTTCTGTCCCACGCATCATTCTCATCCGTCAAGTCACTTACTATAACACCGTTCAACTCCTCAGGAATACAAACTTGAATTATATATTTTTAATTTTTTTTTCCTTTTTAATCAATGCATCAGAAAATAATTAATCATTTTTAAAATATCCAAATATATATATATATATATATATATATATATATATATATATATATATATATATATATATATATATATATATATATATATATATATATATATATATATATATATATATATATATATATATATATATATATATATATATAAAATACTTAATTATATTATGTAGGTTGTTATTGAGAATAATCTCTAATTTTGTCATCTATAAGACTCACATTCACAAACAAAATTATAGTTTGTATCAGATAATGTTAAATATAGACTTTACAGTTTTTTTTGTATAATGTCATTGATACAAAACTACAGTTTGTATAACATAATGTTAATGATATTAAGGGTTGAATATTGTTTAAAGATTGAAGGTATTTGTGTTTATATTTTCGTCATGATTTTTCGTTGAATGATAACCGGTCATTAACTACTTAACAAAACAAAGAAATAGGAACAAATAAATGTCATGTGCAAAGGAGATTGAGATATATAGAAAGGTAGAGAGACTGATAAGTGATATAAAAAAAGAGTTAGAGAGAAACACGTATTAGTGCCAACATTCATAAATAAGTTATAAGAAACGGGTAAGTTACAAAAACAAATAACAACTACCATATTATTTTATTTTCTATATATGTCTTTTTTTATTGAACACAAACATCGAGTATAAAAAGTAATAGTAACATTATTAATGTCTTTTATGGTAAAATATGTGAATATTAATTTTTTGTTATTTTATATCCATTTATAATTTGTATGATTTCTACATTGTGATATTATTAAAAATTTAAGACATTAAACAACATACATGGGTTGTTTTCTTACTTTTATTTTTTTAAATTGTGTAAATAATATTATTTTATATAACATTTAATGTATTGATAAGTTTTAATTTTCACATTCTACTCTTTAGATTATTAAATT